CCATTTCCTGTATGGAGAGCAGGAAATGTTTCTTTCCCCCACTTCTTTTTACTTTATCCTGTTATACTAAAATAAATCCTTGCTAAATTTAAGAAAAAAGAAATTAGACAAAAGGATAAAAAAGGTACCCACAAAAAAAAAAATCACTGCTGTGTTCTCTGTAATAGAAAAATTGAAACATAAAATGGAGAATGTTTTCACAAGTTCTGGCACATCTAATGCAGGAATATTATGCAATCACTAAAAGTATATTATGAAGATCGTGAATGTGTTAAATGAGAACATACTACAAAATTTTATCCAGAAGAAGAAACAATCCATAGCTCTTTCTATGAGGCCAACATTATGTAACCTGACAGCAAAACCAGACAGACACAAGAAAACTACAGACCAGTATCTCTTATGAATATAAATGCAAAATTCCTTACCAAGGGCTGGAGGAGTGGATCATCAGTAGAGCACCTGCTTTGCAAGCACGAAGCCCAGTTCAAACCTTCCAGCACTCCCCCAAAATTACTTAACAAAATACTATTAAATTGTATCCAGAAGCATATTAAAAAGCCTATCTATATACCATAACCAAATAGGATTTATTCCAGGAATGTAGAAGCAGTTATATATATGAAAATCAATGTAACACTATCAATTCTATCAAAGATTAATTCTAATCAATTCTATTAATAGAATGAAGAAAGAAACTACACATCATCTCAATAAATGCAGAAAAAAATTGATAAAACTCTATACCCTTTCATTAAAAAAAAAACACTGAATAAACTAGGAATAGAAGGAAAATTCCTCAGTAGGATATGCAGCATTTATTGAAAAACCTATAGCTAACATTACACTCAATGGCAAAAGATCAAATGACCTCCCCTAAGACCAGGAAAAAAAGATAAGATTTTCCCAGGTCTACCATTCTTTTTTTTTTTTGCAGGTGTAGGGGGACAGGGTCTTATTACATAAATAGGCCAGGCTGGCATTGAACTGCCTTAGCCTCCTGAGTGATAGGATTATAGATATGATTCACCATGCCTGGCTGACTTTCACTTTTATTCTACACTGTATAATACAGCCAGGGCAATTAGGCAAAAAATAAAAGGCATCCAGATTGGATAAATAAAAAGAAGGAAAATGGTCTCTATTCACCAATGGCAAGACCTTAAACAGAAAACCCCAAAGAATCCACAGAGGGTAAAAAACTATTAAAGCTAATGAGAGAGTTCAACAAAGTTTCAGGATACAAAACTCAACATATAAAATCAATTATATTTCTACATATGCATTACCAATAAGCAATCTGAAAATGAAATTAAGACAAGAAAACTATTTACAAAGGCATCGCAAAAAAAATATTTAGGAATAAGTTTAACCAGCAAGTATAAGACTTGGACACTGAAAACTGTAAAACATTGAAAGCATTAAGTAAATATAGACATTCTATGTCATTTTCATAGATCAGAATATTTAATGTTATTAAGATGGCAATCCCCTTAAAATAATCTACAGATTCAGTGCAACCCCTATCAAAATTCCAACTGTTCTTTTTGAAGAAATGGACAACCTGATACTAAAATTTGTACGGAATTGCAAGGGACCCCCCCAAAAAAGTCAAAACAATCTTTATAAAGAACAAAGTGGAAGGATTCTCGCTTCCCAATTTCAAAACTTACCACAATACTACAATTAAAACTGTTGTACAAACATATAAAAGCATACATTAAGGAAACAGAATTGAGAGCTACAAAATAAGCCCATTTTCAAAGGGTATCAAGACTATTCAATGAAGAAAATAAGGTCTTTTCAATAAATGGTGCTGGAACAACTGGATATTCACACACACAGGAATGAATTTGGGTCTCCATCCTATACTGTACACAAAAAGTAACTCAAAATAGATCAAACACCTAAATGTAAGAGGCTAAAACTCTAAGAAGAAAAATCTTCATGATCTCAGATTAGGCAATTTTAAAATTGTGACATTGTAATCACAACAAAGAATAACTACATAAATTGGACTTTGTCAAAATAAAAAAAGTTTATATATCTAAGGACACTTTCTAGTTAACAGACACTATCAAGTAAAAAGAAAATCCACAGAATGGGAAAAAAATTTTGTAAATTATCTATCTCATAAGAGCTTAGTAGCCAGAACATGGAAAGAACTCTTACAACTAAAATGACACCACAATTTAAAAATAGATGTTTCATCAACAAAGATATACAAATGGCTTATAAGCACATAAAAAGATGCTCAACGCCATTAATGATTAAAGAAATGCAAATCAAATCACAATGATACCACTTAACAACCCGAAGGATGGCTGTAAAGAAAATAAGACAAGGCAAGGATATGGAGAAATTAGAATTTTCATACATTGCTGGTGGTAATTTAAAATGATGCAGCCACTCGGAAAAACATGTTGCCAGCTCCTCAAAAAGTTAAACACGGACATCATATGATCACTCAGCAATTCAACTCTTGAGGTATATTCAAGAGAATTAAAAATATGCATCCATATAAAATATATATACATATACATATTCATATGGATATATATGGATACATATATTTTTATACATGCATCCATATATATATATTTTATATATGTATATCCATATAAATATATACATATCCATGGAGATATATATATATCCATATAAAATATATGTATTAAATGTTCACGGCTGTATTTTTCATAATAGTCAAAAAATGGAAACCACAGCTGAGCACAGTGGCTCACATCTGTGATCTTAGCTACTTAGGAGGTGAAGATTGGAGGATTACCTTGGGGGGGATGTTCATGAGGCCCCATCTCAATAAAAAAAGCTAGGCATGATGGCTTGTGCCTTTCATCCCAGATACAGGGAAGCATAAGTAGGAGGAGCCCAGTCCACACTAGCCTGGGCATAAACATGAGACTCTATTCAAAACATAATTAAAGCAAAAAAGGCTAGTAGCCTGGCTCAAGTGGTAGAATACTTGTGTAGCAAGTGCAAGGCCCTGAGTTCAAATGCCAGCACCATTTTAAAAAAAGGAAAACACATAAATGTCCACTAGCTGATACACAAAATGTGGTATTAGCCACAGTGGAATATTATTCAACTATAGAAATGAACTAAGTAGTGTTATATACTACAACATGGATGAACTTTGAAAACAGTAGTGTAATAAGCCAGACACAAAAGTCCATTTATAGAAAGTATACAGAAAGTTAAATCTATACAGCAAGAAGACTGGTATGTGCCAACTGATGGAGACAGGAGGGAGGTGGGACTATGTGCTAACAGGAATGAGGTTTCTTTTGAATGTGCTAGAAATATACTGGAATTAGTAGTGATAACTATCCAACACTGTGACTATATTAATAACCACTTAATTGTACATTTTAAAATGATTAAAATAGTGAATTTTATCTCTGTTTTTGGTGGAACTGGGGTTTAAATTCAGGGCTTCGCATTTACAAAGAAGGTACTCTTACAGCTTGAGGCACATCTCTGGCTCATTTTGTTCTGGTTATTTTAAAGATGGGGTCTTGCAAACTATCTGCCAGGGCTAGCCTTGAACCTTGATCCTCCCAATGTCAGCCTCCCAAGTAGCTAAGATTATAGGCCTGAGCCACCAGCACCTGGCTATCTCAATTTTTTTAAAGTTAAGGGCTGGTAGGATGGCTCAAGTGGTAAAGCACCTGCCTGTCAAGTGCAAGGTCCTGATTTCAAATCCCAGTATTGCCAAAAAAAGTTTAAAAAGTACACATTTTTATCAAATCCTATTCACAACAGACGTTAAATAATACAAGAAATAAAAAGGAATGGGTGTAAATTGTTTTTTTTTTCTCTTTAAAACCTCTTCAGCACAGCATTGTTTCAGTGTAGCACTGTTTATACCAAAAAAAAAAAAAAGAAACCAACTTAATAAAACCATTATTAGGGAACTAATTAAATAAATTATCATACAGCTATGAAAAAGAATGAGATATATTAGTTGGAAAAAAGTATAAAGCTAAAGAGTAGATGAAGTAGGAGTCTTATATACAAACATACTTTTATCTATATAAGCTCTAACAGTGGCAACTACAAGGGAATGGGACTTGAAGACTTTTATTTTTTAATGTCATGCCATTCTGTGTTTTTTAATTTTCTTCACTGAGACAGGGTCTCACTTCTGTGGCCTAGACCAGCCTTGAACTGACAATTCTCCTGCCTCAGCCTCCCAAGTGCTGGGATTACAGGCATGTTTCACACTGCCTAGCTATATTTGATATTTTAATAAAAACTGTTTGAAATAAAGTAATATTTGACTCCTCTTTTGGGATGTAACTTTAAGTATTTAGATGGCTTTTAAACATAACAGGCATTCAAGTTTACCTTTGAATAAAACATTTGGTGTATAGAAGGAAAGTTTCTTTAAATATTATTGTCTATTATAATCAGAAAATGGATGCTACAACAAAACAATCTATATTTTCTAATACAGTGCACTCATTATAAAACAGCATTTTCAAACAACTTACCACAAGCCATTTTACATGGTATAGGCCCCATGATAAGAAAAGAGTATTGGGAAAAACATCTCTACGTACAGAAAGAATACAAAATGACAAATTGTATTGCATTTCTGGTAACAGATCCAAAATTATGTTTATGGTAGTAATGGTTTATGGTATTAGACACATAACATGACCCTGATGTGAGTCTTCTAACGACATGAAGGCTATTTATTGTAAAGTAGGGAGAAGAAATTTGCTTGGATTCATGCACAGAAAAGTACTGATTACTTTTCTGATTATTTTGTAGATGGAAACCTATGAAAGGATTTCTGTAACATCAGAAGCCTAAAAGGTACATTAGCATAAATAAATACAAATTCCATCTAATTTTCAAATTTAACACATGTTGTAAAAGAACCTCCAGGTATAGAAATACTAGAGAAATTTACTTTGAGGTAGAGTAATCTGTACTTCTATTAGTAATGATGTCAATAAAATAAAAAAACCTACCTGCCATTCAAACTCACTATCTGACCAATCCCAGTAAGTGCTAATAGAAGAAGAGACATCACTGCAGACACTACCCTCAGGAAATAAATCAAAAGAAGTGAAGTCTTGATCATCTAATAGAGAATAGCAATCGTCTTGATCACCAACAGAAACTGATGAAAATAGCTCCTCACTGCATTCTGAGCTGGCAACACTTGTTCCACAAGAAGTTAGGTTCCACCTTCAAAAAAAAAAAAACACAACACAAAAGAAATCACAATAGGAACTACAAAATCTATATAATTTGAAGATATTAATAGGACACAAATATGAGGAATATATTTTTAGGTATGATGATAATGATTATTTTTTAAAAAGTCTTTATCTTTTAAGGAAATATATTAAGAAATTTATGAATAAAATATGTCTTGGATTTGCTGCAAAACAGTAAGTGGTTACAGAAAGTAAGTTACAGGTATAAAAAGCATGATGCTTTGAGTAATTACCAAAGCTGAGTGATGGGTACATAAGGTTCATTAGGCCATTCTCTTTACTTTCACAGCTGTCTGACACTTTTGTAATATGCTAAAAGTTATATTAAATTAGGAATAAAGTAGATCTTTCATCCATAAATGAAATATATAATATAGTGATTATGTGTAAACTCTGGAGTTGGACTGAGTTAAAATTCTTGCTGTCAGTTGCTATTTATCTGTTCTTAAGCAAATCACAACCTCTCCAACCTCCTCTCCCATCTTTTCTGCAAATTAATGCTATACAGGCTCATTGCCAAGATGTTAGAATAAGAAAGGAGGTGGAGGTGGGCAGAGATGGGAGGAGTGATCTGAGGCCAGCCTCAGAAAAAAGTTAGTGAGACCCGTCTCTAAAACAACCCAGGTATGGTGGTACCTGTCTGTAATCCCAGCTACTTAGAAGGCAGAGGCAGGTGGACAGCAGTGAGAGGCAGATCCAGGCAAAATCACAAGGCCCTATATGAAAAACAAACTAAAGCAAAAAGGGCTGAGGGCATGGCTCAAGTGGTGGAGCACTTGCCTAACAAACAGAAGGCTCTGAGTTGAAGCCCCAGTACCACTAAAAAAAGAGGTAAGATTTAAATGATTAAAATGGAAGCAATTTTATTATACAGCACTAACTAACCCATAACTTACTGGCACATTTTCCACTCACATACATATTTTTTACATAATTCATAACTATTATGTATATATATTTTAGAATGCTGTTTTTCACTTAACATTATATACGAAACATTTTTCTAAGTACAACTTGAGTATCCCTTTTGCGAAATGCTTGGGACCAGAAATGTTTTACATTTCAGAACTTTTTAGATTTTAAAATATTTTCATAAACATAATGAGATATTTTGGGGATGAGAGCCAAGTCTAAATACAAAATTCATTAATGTTTCACAAGCACCTTATATACGTAGGCTGTATAAAACTATCCCCTATTTTTAGGGTGCCTATATTTTGACTACAACCCACATAAAGGCAGGATGGAATTTTGCACTTGTGGTACAAATGTGGCATTCAAAAAATTCTGGATTTTGAATTTTTGCATTAGGGATGTTCAAATTGTATATTATGTGAAATCATTTTAATATCTATATAATATTCCACTGATTGTATAACTTATTTACCTTATTCCCTCAATAACAGATATGTAGGTGTTTTTCAATTTTTTGTATTATATATAATGAGATGAGACTTTTGTTCATAATTACTTGTCTTATAAACTATCTCAAGATAATTGCTTAAAAGGTAACTACTGAATCACAGAATATGAACATTTCTAAGGGTCATGGTTCATTTAGTCAAGTATCTTTCTGAAAGACTGCACCAATTCATGATCCTCAAAGGAACATAAAAATTTGTCTAGGGCTTGGGGATATAGTTTAGTGGTATATGCAAGGCCCTGGATTTAATCCCCAGGACCACATACATGAGTGTGCGCGCGCGCGCACACACACACACACACACACAGTTCATCTCACCACAACTGAAATTCTTATTTAAAATTTTTAAACCTGTCTCCTAGGACAGAAACATTTTTATATATTTTTATTTTCTTTATTACTAGCAAGACCAACATTTAAAATATGTATTAACTAGGCCAGGCATGGCAGTACGCACCTGAAATCCCGTAATCAGGACTTAGAGAAACAGAATCTTGAATTTGAGACCAGTCTGGGCTACATAGCCTGCCCTGTCTCAAAATAAATAAGTAAATAAATACGTATTAACTGTTTTTGCTACAGTGTTTATCCATATGGTAATGTTTCATTACTTATTTTATGAGCTCTTCATGCATTAAGGATATTAACATTTTGTCTACAGAATTTGTTATGGAAATTTTTTTTGTCTTGAAATCTATCAATCTGTTTTCTTTTGTAAATTTCAACTAATCAGATACTATAAATGAGATAATCTTTATTGCTTTGTCAGTAGCATAAGGAATTAATCCTTGAAATGATTTACTATTTTCAATCCTAATAAGCTACTGAAAAAATGACTTCCAGAAGAAAAGCTTGTTATTTATCTACTATTAAGTTGTTTCTCATCCTTCATTAAATTCTCCTGAATTATGTAGTTTTTAAGACTTCCTCCATTATTTTGTATGGCTAATATTAAACTCAAAAATTCAGGAGTTATAAAATTTTGGCCCCTGGAAAAATTTTTATGGTATCTTTTACTTTGAGTTAAAGGTAGAGCATTTTAAAGCACTGTATACCAGAGCTTCAAAAAGGTACACACACACACACACACACACACACACACACACACACACACTACATAAACTATGTAGTTCCATAAATAAAAATTAGGTACCAATAAAGTTTTATGAACCTAAAATTCATCTAAGAACTCTAGAATACTCTGTAATATTAAGTTTCATCATTGCTTGCTCAGTAGGCAATATCCTCATTAAAAATAACAAGCCTAGAATTAACCAAATTTCTCAGGCCTTGCAAATAAAAACTTCTAAACAGTGATCACATGCTCGCTTCTAGGCAAAGCAAGCCACTCATATACTATGTACTGAGCAAATCATGCAGTATTGGGGTTTGAACTCAGAGCTTCATACCTGCTAGGCAGGCCTACTGCTTGAGCCATACCTCCAGCCCTTAGATAATTGCTTTAATTAGAATTTCTTTTCATCTTGAAAAACCCTGTGGAAATGTGCTTACCTTCATGAATAATAATGACATTCCTTTAAAAAAAACTATCACATTTAATAAACTAACCATTAAATCACTGACAAGAGTCAGGAATTTGCCTTGTTTTATGCCCTTACCTTAGGGCAAAATCTGTATGTTCTTCAGTTTTTCAGATTAATGACTGTGTAACAAGATTCTAGATATTCTCAGAAGTCTTTGCTTTTTTTAATTGTCAGTAGCAAGTAAAACAGTCTCAGCAGAAACAAAGCACTTACAAAATAGAAAACCATTTTTATTAAAGACTTTTTAATTCTTTATTTTCTAATTTGCAAATATTTTTATTAGTATTTTAAGGCAATGCGGTTATATAAAAACAAAGTACAAAACACTTTTATCCATTTCTGGTGGGAGTATAAGTTGATATAATCTTTTTGAAAAGCAATATGGTACTGTATGTATACCAGAGCTTCAAAAAGGTTCATTCCTTTGGACTCAGTAAATCTTCTCCTAGAACTCTATTCCTTTCACCCATAGAAATTTGGAAAAAAGATGTATGTACAAACATGTCCAAACAAAATTACTTATAATAGCAAAAAAGGAAAAGTAAATGACCCCAAAATATGAGGAGTAATTAAGTGACATAGTCTTAATGATGGTATTTTTATAATCATCAAAAACCATACTTTTGGACTACTGAAAAAGAAAAACACTCAACAATGTAAATACAAATAAGCAATAACAAATAATATATATGATCTGATCCTGATTTTTAAAGTTTATGTAAAAGTTGAACATTCCTAACCCAAAAATTCAAAGTTTAAACTCTTCAAATATCTGAAAAGTCTGAACACCAAGTTTCCATCACAAGTAGAAAAATTATGACTTCATATAATAGGACGCAGTCAAAATTCAGGTGTACTAGTTTGTGAAATTACCTTCAAGGTATGTGTATAAGGTACATATGAAACAAATTAATTTTGTATTTAGACTTAGCTACCATCCCAAGATATCTCATTATGTTTATGAAAGTATTCAAAAATCTGAAATCGAAACACTTCTGGTCCCAAGTGTTTCAGAGAGAGGATCTTAATGTTCTCTCTATGTGCACATAGAGAGAACATTAAGAGAAACATCAAAGTACTGATAATTGTTGCCTCTGGGAGAAGGGATGAGTAGTCTTTCTAGTTTTTTATACGCCTTCAATTGTCTATAATGAACTTTTAAAATTTTAAGGATGATTTTTTTAGACTATTGTAATAGTTTCAAACTTTCAATGAATGTCCAGTGTACATACTGAATCATTCAAATTTACAATCCCTTCCATCTTATTCCACTAAAAGACAGTTGCCTAACACTAATTCTAGCTATAACCATAACAGTATTCTCAAAGGAGACTTTCCCTAAAACCCTAAAAGAAAAATGTTGACAAGAAGCCTAATGAAATGGTGTTTAACTTAGTAACTAGATTTGCTCATCTTATGAGCAAATACCTTTGTATTTTCACCTTCTCTCTTTCCTGTAGCCTGCTTCTAAGGAGCTAAAATATTCTTGAAAATCTAAACAAATAAAAAAATGAATTATCACTACATTCCCTGCTAAATTTATTAAAAGCTTCCGCTCTGTCAATCATTATAACCCATGGTTCCACTCCTATCATACTACTGGAATTTCTGTTGATTACTCTCAAATCTGTATTTCTAGCTTTGAAATTTCTCTAAAGCCTGAACTCCCCACTCTAAACTTCTCTCAAAAAGTCCCTAAACTGACCAAGTGGCTCAAGTGGTAGAGTGCCTGCCTAGCAAGCATGAGGCCCCAAGTTCAAATCCCAGTAACATAAAAAAAATTTTTAATTTTAAAATCATGCCTGTAATTCTAGCTTCTCAGCAGGATCATACATTTGAAGCCAGCCCAGGCAAATACTTTACATGACCCTATCTAGAAAATACCCAACACAAAAAAAGGGCTGGTGGCATGGCTCAAGTGGTAGAGTGCCTGCCTAGCAAGCCTGGGAGCCCTGAGTTCAAACCCAGTACCACAAAAAAAAAAGTCCCTAAACCAAATTCCTCTCACATGGTTCTCCCACCTGCAAACCATAGCTCTTCTGTACCTCCAATTCTATACCTAGATAGGAAAATTATGGTAGGTACAAAAGGCACACAAAGGGTACTGGGGATGTAGCTCAGTGGCACTTCAAATGCCTAACATGCACGAGGCCCTGGGTTGATTTGTAGCACCACACACACACACAAAAAAACACCCAATGATCTTGGGATTTTCCAGTTAGTGGTGAGTGAATATGAGGCTCTAACTGAGTAACTGATTTATTCAATAGTTCATTTCATACTCTGCTGATAGGGTATACAAAAATAAGGAATGTCCTCCCATATACTTTTCACAATTGTTTAATGTCAAGGTACTGATAACACTTTTGAGAGATGGAAAATAAGTCATGTGGTAATTCATATTAATCTCTTTCATCTCACAATCTAATGACAGAATCTATCAATGTCATTAGAATTTTTCTAACTTGCTAAATGACACCCCTTTTTGGTAGTGGTGGTAGTTGCAGTAGACATGGATAGTGTACAAAACAAGCCTTTATGGAACTGCTGAATAAAAAAAGCCTCTATTTACAACAGAAAAACCCTGTCCCCTAAACAAAATAAAATGTCTTAAACACAGAATAAATTTAACAATAGTATTTTAAATTTTAAGTCCATTATTCTTTTTTTTACTTATTGAAATTTATATTAGTTTCCCAAAATTCTAGAAAAACCCAACTGGGTCATAAAATTCTAAAAGACACTCATAGGAAGATATGATTTTTTTGAGACAAGGTCTTGCTATTTTGCCCAGGGTGGTCTCAAGAATTCTCCAGCCTGAGCCTCCTGAGTAACTAGGACTATAGGTGTGTGTTACTTCATTTGGTTGGAAAATGTGAATTCTAAAAAATTGCCTATGTCCATGTAATTTATTTTCTACTCAATTTAGACCAGTGACATGCCAATCTATGTCATATGTGACTCTAATCTGAACACTGCATGCATTCAACCTCAGAGACCTTTAGTGCCATGATTCTCTTGGTTAATGAAAATTGCAAATACAGATTAGAGTCCAATAAATGAGCAGGCACAAAACTGTCATCATCAGAAGGTCCTTATCAAGGGCATTACTTAAACATTCTTCCCACTTTCTTATACAGTAACAAGGGGACGCAAAATAAAGGTAAATCAAATATCTACACACTGACTTTCTCTATACAATAAAATTTAGTTTACAATGACTAAACTCAAAGTAGAATTTTAATATTCAGCTATTCATATCTGATTTTTAAATTGTTGCTTGACTTGGCAAACAATGTGAAGAAAAAAACTGACACATAGAACTGCAAAATAAAAGAACTCCCTAAACTAAATTGAGCCCACATATATGACTTAGCTGTTTGCTTCTCCCTGAAAAGAAATGTCTAGAAGCATATGGTCGGATCAAATACCATCTTGAGGAGTGGTAAGAAGGCAGAACATTCCAGAAGGAGAAAAGATTTAAAAAACAAGGTATCTTAGGGCAGAAACAACATCTGTTGTAATATTGCTAATTCTGCTTTCCTTTTCTGCTGAAAAGGATACAGAGCATGAGACCCCCTGCTATCATTCCAAAGTAGGGTAGGAGAGGGGGGAGATTTAAAAATAGCTGACTGTAAGTCAGAAACATAATGCTTGAGCCCAGCAGCTCCTAGCTACTCCAGATGCACAGATCAGGAGGATCACGATTGGAAGCCAGCAAATAGTTCTGGTGACCCTATTTTGAAAAAACACATCACAAAAAGGGCTGGTGGAGAGGCTCAAGGCACAGGCCATGATTTCAAACCCCAGTATAAAAAAAAAAAAAGAAAAAGAATGCTTGAGTTGGAAAAACTGTGGCTTAACAGGAACCTCCTACCCTCACTGCCCCATTCTAGAAAATAGCCTTGACCTTATCAGTCTTTAAGGGGAAAAAACACAAAGTAAAAATAGATAGGAGGAGGGAGAACAGAACCGACTGTAAGAAATGTGCTTCACTTCCCATCACCCCCACCCATCTTGGCAATGCTTACCATGAACCTCTGCCCCCACTCCCTTGTCCTCAATCATCAGAGCAGTCTAATTCTAAAACCATTTAACTTTCTTGGTTATGTGACTTGCTCTACGTGCTGCAAAACTTAAATTCCAAATATGTGCAAAAGCACTCTTTTCCATTACTTTTCAATGTAAATAACTTGATTTAAGCACACTTGACTTTGTCAATGTTACATGCATGCTAGTTGTACAGCATGCACTAAACTTCTGTGAATTAGTGTAAGAAATTATCGTGACCACTGATGACAATGGACCCATTAGTTCTAATCCAAGTTTCATCAGTGGCTCCAAAGGAGTAGTCTAGGTGTGACAAACCTTTTGCCAGATGAGGTTTTATGACCTTCAATTCAGTTTTTTTCTCTCTAGGCCTGTTTCTTCGTTTTTGCAACGAGAATTTGGAATATTTGTAAGAAATTTACTGCCACTTCCTTTTGAAATGTGTTATACCGATGTTCAGAATGATTAACTTGATGTTAACAGATGTTATTCTTTTTTCTGAAGACTAAAACTTTCCTTTAAGAATCATACTTAGCAGAAGAAACTCAAAAAATCTAGATAGATTTAAGGGATAGGAAGAGAATATATACAAAAGTCATTAAAATGTGGAAGGATTTGATCAAGCTCACATAGTAAACCTGGATCAGAAATCCAAACTAGATTCCGTATCACCAGTATTTCCTATACTGAATCCTTGTCCTACTCCCTTTGCCCACACACTTCCCCAGCCCTTTGTATACTTCCAAATATCCACTTATATTAAAAGTTGAGGTTATATGGAAAACACCTTCAAATCCTCCACAACATCTGGTATAACGTTTAGATGCTTGTACGAGAGAATTCTCCAGAACTCTGCCTTCCAATAAAATCAGTTTAGGAGATTCACCCTCTGAAGGAATCCGTATAAACAAGCCCTGTGCCCCATGCCCCACTGAAGGAGCAACCCATGGATATGTTACAGCAAGGAATCTTCCAGATTTAAACTTACACATTTTGGGAGGGCCTATAGAGCCAAGCAAAGAATTTTTCAAAAAGGAGGGAGGAGAAAAAAAGAATCAACCACCTTCTTGGCACTCCGATTAAAAACTGGGGTGGGGTATGGATAGGACTATGGAGTTAAAAGTTGGGAAAAGGAAGGGTCTAGCTTTAAAAGTACTCTTTCAAAGGATTCATAGATTTTGTGCCATACAAAATCCACTGCTATACCGGAAACGGAAGGGGTTAAACTTGTGCAGATGGATGGAAACGGGGGAGCATTTAAAAATCAAGAGTTGGGGGTTTGGAGTTCTGAGGGTACAGATGGAGAGCAGGGCTACAGGAGAAGATGGAGAAGGAACTGTTACAGCCAGAAGATCAATGGGGAAAAGAAAGCGAGTAAAAAGCCGGTCTTATGGAAAACCGGAGGTCAGGGGTGAAAACTGGGAGGGCGAGCAGAGAAGGCGCCCAAGAAGAGCACTGGTCAAAGGTGGGGGGTGGGGCGACTGAAAGCTCAGCCCTGGGCGAAGGACCAGGAACAAGGTAGGGGCGCGATCCGGCATTCTCTGGCAAGAGGCAGGGGTGTGGGAAGTCCATTCCGGCTCTCGGAAACCCTTCGTACCTGTTGGTATGGAAGCGGTGGAGCGGGTCGGTGCGATGGCAGGAGGACAGCTGGCATCCGAAGTCGCTGATGTCCAGGCAGCCCGGTTCCTCGCTGGGGCAGGTGCCCGCCCCGCGAGGAGGTCCCAGGAGCGGGAAGGGTTCCTCGGGGGTTAGAAACTTCTCGTAGGAAGTGGTGGCCGACGTCTCATCTGACATGGTTGGAGACGGTCTGGCTCCGGCTCCCTCTCTGGCCTTGGGCTGCTCCCGCGACTGACCCTGCCCCCACTCTAACCTGTCCGCGGTCGCGGTTGCTCCGGGCTGTGCCCACCGCAGCTCAGCTCACTGGCAGGCCAAGTGCCTTGGTTCACCGCTGCCGGAGGAGTGAGGGGCCTTCCACAGGGTGCTCCAGGACACAGCAGCCCACTGGCCACCCAGTCAGCGCCTCAGTGGCCTCTGCAGCCACAGCCGTCGTCTCCGCTGCAGCGCGGCCCAGCCCATCAGCGCCGTGCCACCGCCCGGTCTGACGGGCCCCGCCCACTGCGCTCGCAGCTCGCAACTGCGGCAGTTGGCCCTACACTCGCCGGAGAGGAAGAGCCGCAAGAAGTCGCGTCCCTTGCCCCCTGCTGGAGCGGAGGAGTAACTGAACCTTCGCGGCCGCAGTACCACGTGACTGGCGTGGACCGCCCCGCCCGGTCTCGCCCTCTAAGCCTCGAATCAGGAATTGGGGCACTGGAAGGGCAGATTCCTCTTAAAACTACCTCTGCTTTTTCACTTGATTACTAAATAGCAACCGCAGCCTAGAAAAGGGACTTGGCTAAGGTCACACTGCGGGTGCGTGAGAAAGAATCCCAGATGCCCTTGTTCCCAGCACACTCAATCACTCCGTTCAATTCAACAAGTATTTATTGAGCTCCTACAGTGTGTGTGCCCAGCACAGTGCAATGAGCTGTAGGAGAAATGGGTCAAGTAGGAAAAAAAAAATAGTCCCTGCCTCACTCTTAGTCATCTCATTCCAAGAACCCTATGCTACAGCTACCAGGCTATTCAGAGTTGCTGGACACGTAGTGTTCTTTTGTGCTCTGTGCCTTGGCTCGCATTATGCACTGCGCTTGGAATAGCCTACCATTTCTCCTCTGCTAATCCTTAAAGCACTGGCTCAAATGCTTCCTCCTCAGTGAAGCCTTCCCTAACTCCCAAAGGAGTTTCTCTCAGACATTCTCGCTGTTGGTCCCCGCGGGCCCCCACTCCCACTGAAATTGTTATGAACCTTAACTTGGTCAATTTATTAGGTGCCACATACTGTTCCTCCCCTCCCATTACTTCTGTTTTCTCCATGTTCTAGGCAAACTGTTCCAGATCTTGGATGCATAATTTTTTTACTTGTATTCAGAGGAAAACCCAACATCATCAAATTCTTATGAACACAGTTTTTAAAATAACCCACTACTATTTTATGAAAGGAAGCATTTGTTTTCATATAAAATGATGGCATAATTTTCAATAAAGACAATACTTTGCATTAAAGACAATTGGCTTATGGAAAACCTCATTCCATTGATCCTCGAGGGAAATAGAGATCCCAGATGTAATAAATGTGAAAAGTGAAAGAACACAGGATAAAGAGGAGAAAGTGGCAAGAAATGTGAAGATTCGTCACACAAACAGACCACTCAGTGTTAACCTGGGCTGTGCCCTACCAATGCAACTTATAATGAAAACAACTCCTGCATCACTCTACTCCTTTCTTTTTTTTTTTTTTTGTGGTTCTGGGATTTGAACTCAGTGCCTACACCTTGAGCCACTCCACCAGCCTTTTTTTGGGATTTTTTTTCAAGCTAGGGTCTCATGAACTATTTGCCCAGGTTGGCTTCAAACCGCAATCCTCCTGATCTCTGCCTCCTGAGTAGCTAGGATTACAGACATGAGCCACCAGCACCCGGCACTCCTTTAAAATACATGTGGTCAATCCTGAGTACCCACGAAGTATTGATTCCAGGACCCCAAAGATAGGGAAATCCGTGGATGCTCAAGTCCCTTATATAAAATGGCATAGCATTTTGCATATAACATACATTTCCCCATATACTTTAAATCATCTCTACATTACATGTAATAGCTAATACCATGAAAATAGTTGTTATGCTGTATTGTTTGAAGAATAATGACCAGACAAATCTGTATGTGTATGGTACAGATACATTTTTCAAATATTTTCCATTCACAGTGGCTGAATCCCAGGATGTGGAGCCTGCAGATAAGGAATGCTGGTTGTATTCTCTTGCTTCAGTTATTTAGTTACCTGATGATCTTGAGTGTTTTCTTTCATTTCGATTGAAAGATGCTACATTGCATTGGGAATATGACTTTCAAAATCAATTATTCATTAATGGTACAGACCAGTGTAAAAATTGTGGACAGATGGTGATGGTTTGACCTATGATCCCCAATGCACCAATCCCCAAGGGTCTAGGGCTAGTGAGGTCTAATGTGGCAGAAACAAGAATCGAATTGTCCAAACGAAACAAGAGTTAAGTGTTACATGACAATGTTTGGTACTCAGGTGATAGCACCAGAAACTATTAGTTGGAAGCTAACAATATGGTGTGAACCTAAATATGTATCTGTTTTATACATATTATAAGAGGTGGGTTAGCCGTTAGCCGGGTGTCATCCTGTAATTCTAGCTACTTGGGAGGCTGAGATTGGGAGGATTGCAGTTTGAGACTAGCCCCAGCAAAAAGTTCTGGAGACCCTATCTGAAAAATAGCTGGGCGCAGTGGTGTGTGCCTATCATTCCAAGCTACTTGGGAGGCTGAGATTGGAAGGATCATGGTTCCAGGCCAGCCTGAGAAAAAAAGTTTGCAAGACCCCATCTCAACAGAAAAAAAGCCCTGAGTTCAAACCTCATTACCTCCAAGGAAAAGAAAAGTGGGTATTTTTCAAACTGAAATCTTTTTTTTTTTTTTTTGGTGGCATTGGGGTTTGAACTCAGGTCTTCACACTTGCTAGGCAGGTGCTCTACCACTTGAGTCACTTCACCAGCCATTTTCTTTGCGGTGTTTTTTTTTTTTTTTTTTTTGAGATAGGGTCTCTCAAACTATTTGCCCAGGGCTGACTTTGAACCTCAATCCTCCTAATCTCTGCCTCCTGCATAGCTAGGATTACAGGCATGAGCCACCAGTGCCTGGCTTCAAACTGGAGTCTAATGATAGAATCGGCGTTTTCTGCAAGCACTTTTTTTTACTTTTGCATATAATTTTAAGCATATTCTGGAATATCTGGATAATCACATGATAAACTGCTCCCATGTAATTATGATGCTTATTTGAGTCTGTTTTCACAATCAAGCTGGCACAAGGTAATACTACTTTAATCGTTAACAGCTAGTGAGAAAATAAATGAGGCTGTCCTCATACTTCATGGCTTGCCATACAAATGAAAGCTTGCAGTAGTTTGAAAGAAGAAAGTGTTGGGAAAGTGGAATTCTCACAAGACTCTCTTATAAGCATGCTGAAACGCAAGAGCAAATTCTGGCCAGTTCACATTTCTCAGGGCCTGAAATAACTGCTGGACTAAAATATGCTAGATTCAAGGTTGTGTCTTAATAAACATTTAAATAACAACTGAAATCATGCTGTAGTTGCCTAATACTGCCCTGCAAAACAGCACCAGGCTCAGATAAATAGAAACCTCATGGGGAGCAAGAACTTTGAGAACTCTCTAGGAGCCTCCCACATAGCAGATGAAATAACTGCTGGACTAAAATATGCTAGATTCAAGGTTGTGTCTTAATAAACATTTAAATATCAACTGAAATCATGCTGTAGTTGCCTAATACTGCCCTGCAAAACAGCACCAGGCTCAGATAAATAGAAACCTCATGGGGAGCAAGAACTTTGAGAACTCTCTAGGAGCCTCCCACATAGCAGATGATTTCTGAAGTTTTGATATTAAGAACATTGAGCCCACATGCATTTAACATTTCTAAGGCTGACCATCTCATTTGTTTTAACAATGTTTCCCCATGCAGACACAATAGTAACATCAACTAAAAAACAATTGTTTCCACCACCTCTTTTTTGATAAGGTAAAATAGTAAGTCTTTGTCCAAGGGCCTCTGAAAATCTCAAAGATAGTTTTTAGTTGCAAAAGATAGCTATAAAGTTATTTTATTTCATTTTATATTCAGGATTCAATTTTAGGAAGTAAAAAGTTGTCAGGATATTTGAACATTGAAAATAGGATAGTTGGTGATGACAAACAATAGTTGGCTACTCATTTGGAACTACATAAAAAACACTTAAAAATAAACATAGATTATGCACTTAAATAGCTTGCTGGGCACCCATGGCTCATGCTTGTAATCTTAGCTACTCAGGAGGCAGAGATCAGGAGGATTGCTTGGGCAAATAGTTTGTGAGACCCTATCTCAAAATTATCCAACACAGAAAAGGGGTGATGGAGTGCCTGCTTAGCAAGCCTGGGTGAGACCCTGAATTCAAACCACAGTACCACAAAAAAAAAGGAACCATAGCTCTGGGGCTGCCAGATGTAGCTCAACGGTTAGAGCACTTTCCTTACATGTACAAGATGCTGGGTTCCATTCCCAGCACCAGCAAAAAAAATAGTTCCCTCATAAATGAAAAAAAGTTTTCTTAACTAATTAAGGACACAATAAAATCAACATAAAGTATATAAAAGTATTCTGGCAAAACATAGACTCTTTTCTATCCAGATTTCACAGAAAAATCCTCCATAGCATAGATGAGGAAATAAATAGTAAATAACTGTTATGTCATGCACTGTACTGTGCTAAATCCTGGAAATATAAAATGAATGAGACATACTCCACATCTCCTAGAATTTTACAATTTAATATATTGCAACAAATGTGGCAGATTGCTGATTGTCCATCACATAGTCTTTCTTCCTACTCCTTCTAAGTAAAGGAAGTCTGATTTGCCTGGAGATATATGTGAACCAAGACCTAAGAAAAACACTTCATTTACAGCCTACATTTCATAGGGGTGCACATGTGACTAAATATAGTCTGTGTGTGGGTAGAAATTGTTGGGGGGGAGCAGGCGCCTGTGGCCTATGCCTATAATCCTAGCTATTTGGGAGGCTGAGATCAGGAGGATCATGGTTTGAGGCCAGCCTGAGCAAATAGTTCACAAGATCCCATCTCTAAATAACCAGAGAAAAATGGACTTGAGGTTTGACCCATGTGGTAGAGTGCTTGCTTTGCAAATGTGAACCCTTGAGTTTAAACCCCAATCCCACCAAAAAAAAAAAAAAAAAGAAGAGAAGGAAGAAGAAGAAGAAAGAAGAAAGAGAAGAAGAAGAAGAAGAAGAAGAAGGAGGAGGAGGAGGAGGAGGAGGAGGAGGAGAGGAGGAGGAGGAGGAGGAGGAGGAGGAGGAGGAGGAGGAGGAGGAGGAGAAGAAGAAGAAGAAGAAGAAGAAGAAGAAGAAGAAGAAGAAGAAGAAGAAGAAGAAGAAGAAGAAGAAGAAGAAAAAGAAGAAGAAGAAGAAAAGT